TTATACAAGAGAAAAAGAAATTAACTGATTTGTGTAATTGCGAATGCTTTCTTTTACTCGATTTCTTCTTCTTACTTCAGTAATTTCACTTGTGAGGCATTAAATGTGGAAAAGCATTGAAACGAGTTGCAAGCAACGAACTTAGTTGGGGCGATTCTTACATTACTGCACAACCATTCGACAATTGCGTAAAAGATATGTTTGCATCAGCAGCTACAGCAGCAGCAACAGAAGTAGTAATAGCACTAACAACAACAACTACAACAATAACAGAAAGTTAAAAAAAGACGCGTGCCGTATGTTAGTATAGACAGACATAAAACGACAGCAGTTCTTTTTACAAAAAAACCATGTTGGTGCCCATGTGAGCAAAGAGGAAGAGATAGATTTATCCATATACGGGTACTTCTTATAATTTACACACGAACTATTTGCAAAAGTATACAAACACCCTACAGAAAAAATTAGTAATAGTTCGAAAGATAGTTAAAGAATATCGGTGATCTGTTTATATAGATACAATATATTAGTTATTAGCTCCAGTTCCGGTTCAGGAAAATCCAGTTCCTGTTTAGAAAATTCACGAATTCATTTTTTCATTAATGCTAAGATTAAGGCAATTGAGATTTTTATTGCATCGAAAGACTATGTATACATTTGAAATAATGAATGGAAGTTTATGAAGGTTTGATAACTAAGTATAAACAAAACGTCATTAAATGCACACTTCCGACTTATGACCACTAGATGTTTCTTACAATATTTTTAGAATATTCCCACTATAATTTCACAGGTAACTTAATCTTATTTAGACAAAACTATTTTTGACGAAATACATATTTTACTTTTAGGCTTACATTGCTTACTAACGTGGTAAATTTACACTTCTCAACATTTAGTTTCTATGATTCAAGTAGCAGTTCATTAGGCAGCAGTTTTCAATTGCTAAGGTACATTTCGTGCCTTCATGGAACTAGTAGTAGTAGTTGTGGTTATGCCGATACAAACGGAGTACTGTATATAACCAAGATTACATATACTAAAGTTCTTGGCAGTAACTGTGTGATTTTGAGCTCTCGGCAAACGTTTAGATTAGTTGTACTCTAGTCTAATACATCTAAACTACCACATTTGATGGAAGTCTTAGCATGTATAAGAATACTTTATTACGACTATGAAATGGAAATCAGTATTTCAGTTTTTACATTATATGGGTATAAAGTATTAGTATCTACTGTATCTATTCTGTATAAAAGGTTTAAAAAAGTTTGAAAAGTATTTCCCCTTATTAAATTCACTTTGTCAAATACCTTGCGCCGATATACTATATATGTCCAGTTGCATCAGAAAATTACTGCAAAATACATAATAGTATTATTTATAATACTATTAAGAGATATCTATTTTGTCTTAAACTAGGAATTTTTATTGTCGAATTTCTTTGAGTATTGCTTCCACAATGCAGAAAGCATGCCTCGTTGAATTTCAGTATCATTAAGTTGTAGGTAATATTAAGCCTGCCACCAAGTATCCGAATAAAAACTCCATACGTAATATGTCGTACGGAGTAAACAAGATCATGAGACTTTATACCTTTAATTTAAAAAAAAAAGTTGCGCGTCATGTAGAACCGTTTAGAACTGTGTGATATATATTTTTTATACAGATATGTAACTGTGTTAATTTTTTTCTATTTTTAATAGTTGGTTTATCGTTGGTGGCATCACTAATGATGTCGTTCCTTTACGATATGAAAGTATTAGATGTATGTGGACAACTTCTAAAACAAGTGTGTGGGTTTTAGCAACTTTATTATTAATTATTAGAATTATAAAATTCAATGCCATTAATACCCATGTAAGATACATAAAACGTGTATGGAGTTTTAATAAAGTGAAGCGAAAGAATTTTTTTTATCGCGTCGCCGGTATAGGTGTAGGCCTTTAATTTCTTATTATTTTGCGATTGCATGTAAAAATATCATATGTTTTGAAAGTCTTAAATAACTAAAGATAGTTTTACTGACTGCTAAGACGTTATCGTTTAGTGATAAGAGTATATACCATACTTAAACCCAATTTGTCAAGATTAAATCAAACTAAAATAGAAGTTTGGTGAACAGTTATTTGTTTACAGCGAAATAATATTGTGCATATAATTTTTTCATATAACAGGGGTTATTTTTAAATTCACGGATAAGCAGAATAGTTTACTTCAAATAAATTTTCAGTCATAAAACTTATAATAACTTACCAGAGTAAATGTGATATATCGATCGTTGTTAAACAAAATATAAGAAATATATTTTTGAGTAGTTCTTTTATCACATTTAAGTGTACTATTTACTTTTATTACTTAAAAATCCGTATCGTATACAATAAGGGATGCGTTTGTGGTTCCAATCCCTACACGGCCTCCAATGTGTTGTTTACTATGTCACAAACATTTCGATAGGTTTAGTGTACTTATATGTACGAAGGGTGTAAAAACAAATATTTAATTTTATGAACATTATGAATATCGCATCGATACATATTAAGAATAACTTGCAGTATGACCCTTCTCATTTTTGATTCTATGTACATCTAATACAGATATTAAAAATTTATACTTAAGGTACGTGCATAAAAAGAGTTTATGCAACTTTTCAATTAAAGAAATAAAACAACCATTTTAATTCATTTAACGTTCAGCATATATTTTTTTCAACTTTTAATTACTTTAATTACGGTTCAATTATTACATAGAATTTTTGTATTACCACAAATCTTTTGTAAAATTAAATAACTGTTGCATAAAAGCTTGAAGCGTATCTAACTACCATACGGGTATAACATATGCTGAAATATTATGTACACATAATTTATCTAAAAATATAATTAAAATTTAAAATGAAAAAGAAATGACCAACTAATAAAACGCTTACTTACGTACTAATGTTTTATTACTATATATCGAGTCTATCTAGATGTCTGGTATAAGAATAAGTTATTAAAGTGCAACACCATGAGAACAAGTAAAAGTAAAAGAGTAACGCATTATTTAACGGTTCAGTCACACATAAATTTATAGCTGCGTATATGAGTAAAATTTTCAGTTTTTTTTTTAAATAAAGAAAATTATATAGAATATCATATATTACGAAGTTTTAATTAGTGTTAGACCTCAGCTTGATTAGCCACAAATGTTTGCATTAAAAGAATTTGACTCTATTTCTCTCAAAATGCAAGAATGAAGATAAAATTTTTACTTATTAGTACCGTAATAGTGTCATATAATTTGCCGTCTCGATTTGTCGGGCCGATAGATTCCTACCTCAAATATTTTGGAAGACGTACTAACACTATAATATTTTTTGACAATATTATATATAAAAAAAATGCAGGACACGATTTTCTGTCTCCGGTGTAGCCAAGTGCACATAGCGTTTTTATTAAATATAATTTTATTGATTTTATCATATTCAGTTTTTAAAATGCTATATGGGTAATAATATATTCGCAGTACACTTATATGGTTGTAATACACGCGTACATATAATTTCACTTAAATCAAATACTTTTTTACTTTTATATTTTTCGGGTATAGCAGCAAAAACATTAATATTGCAACCTAAAAACGTAAAAGTGAAAAAATAAACAAAAAGGAAGCAAAATGAGAAAAAAATATTCATTGTTTTTTGCAATGTTTTGTACTTCTATGCGTACCAAACTACCCGGAAATCAATCAATGTAAGGGCATTCCACTTCAACATTAATTCTTGAAAGCATCAAATTGCCTCTGTGTTCAAACCTGCACCAAAGGTGGCGGCAACAAAATTAACGAAAGCAACAACTACAGCAACTACAACAACAATAACACTCAAGTTTGGCGTTGCGAGATATGAGCAGCATCTCACCAAAATTTTATTAAAAAAGCTATGGTAAAAACTGCAGTTACACATGCGTCTCAAATGCACACATATCCGTTATGCTGGTACATGCACAAGTAATCGCACATTAGTTAAGCTGGCTATGTTCATACTTTGAGTCAATGAAAGTACAACAGTTGTATGAGTAATATATCAATAAATGAGAGTAAGGTAAAAAGTAAACAAAACAAAATCAAAAAAAAAAACACGTAAAAAAACACAGGACTTAACCACAACAGGTGCTTGCGGCACCGCTTACTTTGCAGTATTGCATGCGCTTGTTGGTTATTTGTGCACTGCAAAGTAAAATGAAGTGCAAAAGCACATACCACTGTTCTCTCTCGCAGCAGCTGAGTACACAAAAAAAGTTTCATTGATAAAAAACGTATTTTTACTATTTTTGTCGACAAGAGAGTCGACAAGAGGCAAAGCAACTCTGAGAAATGCAAAAGATGTGGCTAAAAGCAAAAATAAACAAAAACAACTCTCAGACGCAAAGCACTTGTTTATCCAACAGACAACGGCAGTTACCAGTGGCAGGCAGATGCGCGTAAACTTTCAGTATGAAAACGACTATCGTGCGATATACATGTGAGGTGTAGTAAAGAAAGAGTTTCCTATATTCGTTGGCAATTACGAAGTAACGAAAGAAACGGTGAAATTCGTTTAACGTCTGGTGATAGTAGGACTGCAATAAAGAGAATTTAAAATAATAATTGCGGGCATACATATGTTAAAGGCTGGGAAAGTAAAACACTATATGAAGAAGAAAAAATTATACAAAATTTCGCGTTTTAAAAAAAATATAGAAAATATTGAAAATTTAAGTGAAAAAGTGAATATAAAATTTTAATTATAAAAATCAAACAGAAAACTGCTTTTATATAAAGTTGTACCACATATATTCAATTATGCCCGATTGAAAAAAAGAATTAAAATAATAAAAAAAAAAAATTTTTCAAAAAAAATAGTTAAGAGCAGTATAAATTTAATATTCAAAAAACTGAGAAAGTTATATAAAAAAGAAATGCGTTTAAATTACGTTTAAAAATTAAATTTTATTTAATTTTTTATGGGTAAATCTTTTGGTTATACTACAGATAAAAATAATATCACAATAAAAATATATAATACATATATACAACGCATAACTTTGTTTTATAAAAGCTCAACCAAGTGTAATTTTTTCAGTGTAATTTAAGTAGTGCACTTGTCGCACCCCTTGCAGCGAACTCCAATTACAGTGAACGCAATTCAGAACTAAGTTTTGGCTAAATTGCCAAGTGACGAAGCGCAAAAAAGCAAAGATAACAGAAACCATTCCAAATAATTATTTTTTCTACTATATAACAAACTATAATAAAAATGCATGCAATAAATAAATTGGATACGATGACGATGACACCGTTGTCAACAAGTGGAACCAACATAAAACTGGATCACCATTTAAAGCCTATATTGAGTCCAACACGATCCCTTGATGAAGGTTTTGAAAGTGATCCGGATCGTGTTTCAACTGATTCAGAGCATCAAACCAGTGGAACGAGTGGCAATATAAGCAGCAGTAGCAGTAACAACTGTCATAGTAGTAATAATAACACAAAATTACAACAACAACAACAAACACAACAATTGCAGCAAATAAGACAACAATTGCAAAAACAAAATGGTTCTGCATTAGCACAATTGTCAACAGCCGCAACAGGCGGCATTATTGCGGGTGCAAATGCAACAAATGCAATATCAACAGCATCAACAATAGCTGCTACTAACATATGCAGCATACCAACAACAACAGATTTACATAAGCAACGTTTGTTAACAATGGTGACGGCGCCTCAAATTACACGTCGTCAGCGTTTAACAGCCGCAAGTACTGGCGCAAATACAGTACCCACTAGCGTAACTGTAGCAACCACAAAGCCATACACAACAGACGCAACGCTTGAAAAGCACTACAAGGATTTGCAACAACAAAGTCGAAATCCATATGACATTAAGACTACATCAGTTACAAATCATAACAATATCAGCAACAATAACAACAGTGGCAGCAGTGGCAATACCACTAATAATAACAACAACAATAAATCTGTACTAATGTCTCGTGTACAAACAGTGACCGCCTCAAATCTGCCAAGCAGTGGTACCATTGGTTTACAAGCCTCCAACAGCAGTACAGGCTCTCCTTCTGCACAACGCTTGCAATATCAAAAACAACGTCAACCACTTGTTGCATCTGCAGCGGTCCAAAATCGTTTAACCACTTCAACTACTGGCTACCGACGTAGCAAGGTGCGTGCCATGTCACCAGCAGTACTTAAAAGTGCCACTTCGCACCTAAACTCTAATAATAGTACCAACAATACTGCGAGCAATATTAGCAACGGCTCCAACAATAACACCCTAAACAGCAATGCAACTACGAGCAATGCACATGTCACTACGGCGCGTATAACACGCCTTATGCAGCGCAATACAGGCGCCAATAAACGTTCACATTCCGTCGATGCCATTTCACGCATGAGGAACTATAAATATCCGAATGTGTTGGCTGCACATCACACTAACGCTGCTGGCCAAACATTATTGGTGCAGCCAATATCTAGCGCTACTCTAACCTCCTCGGCTGTGGGTGCACTACCACCCGCAACCGCTGTTATAAACTCAAATAGTGGTGGCGATACCGCTGCTGCACTAGTTGCTGCTGCCGGTGGTTCAACGGTTATCGCTTCAGCTACTAACAGTCTCTACACCTTTTACCCGGCGGAGGGTAATCTGCAAGTATGGCAATCCGAGTGCGGTGACCTCACATACAAATCGTCGCGCAATCAGCAAGCACATAAAGCGCCGGTCTGTTGGACGCAATCCATACCAAGGCAAACAAGACGGTGAGTGTCTGTAGCGTTTGGTAATATTCATTTCAATATTAGTTTAAGTTTAGTTTAGGGAGAGGTGGGCTTGCATATTAATGTGCATATGTGCGTATAGGCAAGCGTTAGTTAGTACGCATAGTTTATTGCTAAACTTTACTTTAAAAAAAAAAATTAAGAAAGAAAAAATGCATAAATTGATAAAATAGTTTGAAAAACTTAAAATCATAAAACATTCACATTCAATTGAGTTTAAGTTGCATAGGCACAGTAGATTTGTCTGTTTTGCTTAGTAAAGTGGGGAGCCCCATTCGTTTACTCCGAAAAATGCGTTTAACGTCAAAAATATGTTGGCAAAAATATTTCATTTTGTGTGCATTTGAACTCATTTGAGTATTGGGCAACTGCTCAGTTCAGTGTAAATTAATACAGTTTGTTAATATTTATTTACTACGTGCGCTTATAAATATATGTTATATTTTCAATCACATATTAAGGTTGAAAAGAGGTTTAATTTTTATATTTGATTTTATTTTATATTTGGTAGTTTTGCAGCTCAAGCCACCAAATAAATTTGTATGCAGTTAATCGTTGCTTACTTTATGAGATATAAAATTTTATTGGCGATTGCAATTTTTTTCATATTTTTTTATTTATTAATTACTTACTTAAAGCAGGTTAATATTATGGAATTTGCTGCAAAACAAATAAACCATTAAATATATACATATTTCACTATTACAAAAAATTAACCCAAATAACAAAAAATATGTGTTAAAGAATAGTTAAAGAAATAAGTCAAATAAACTTTAATTTTCAGACATATATTTAAAGTATCTAGAACGAGCTCACAAAAGCAGTAGCCAGATAAATTGGGTTCTTCAAAAGAAAATTTACAATTTAGTTCTAAAAAACTTTCTTCTTTCTTACTAAAAATAATGCCATAGCAAATTACTAGCAATTAACAATTCAACAAAAATTTTTATATAGTATTTAAAAATTAAATTTGTAATAAACTAACGTTTAACATAAAAGTATTCAATATATGAGATGATAGGTATAAATTTTATATCCTTGTTTATACATCTTTTCATGGCTGAACCACATAGCAAATAGAGCTTAAATGGATTTATTAATTTAATAAACATAAGTTAAGAATATAAATACTGAAAATGTACAATATTGATTTAATCTTAATTAAATTTTTAAGTTTAGATTTATGTACTGTACTTATATATAATATTTAAACTGCCTTTGTCAACAGAATTATTTTTTAATAGAAAGTAAAGTAAATTTGGTCCTTAGTCTTTTTATAAACTAACAAAAACTTACTCAAATGAAGTGATCAGAAAATGGGAAAACAAAAAAATTTGTAGACCAAAGGTTTAATAGCACAGGCCAACGTCTTCAAAACAATATCTTATTTCCAAGAATAGAATATCAAGTAATATACTTTCACTAAGAAGGTTCAATTTAGGGATCCTCTCTGGTTACTGTACTAGTTACTGCGACTTATGCCTGCGGTTTTTGTGAAATAGCTTAGAGCACATTTTATGTGAATGTTCAGTTTTTGGCTTCGCTATTTATGTGATATTGTTAGTCTTCTGTAAAAATTATTTATATATATATAATATATAAATAATATATTTATTTAAATCGAAGTTTTTTCTGGATTAATAATAATAATTTTGGATATAGTGTCAAAAACTTTCACTAGACTTTATATGTGATAAAGATAACCCGGTTGCAGTTTAATTATTGATACTTAGAGTGCAGGTGTAAAATTAAATAGTGTCTAAATCACACATATATACGGCTGATATATAAATGTAACCAATAATAATAAGTCAATTGTAGTAATTGTAGGCAATCGTGGTGTACGATATCTAAAAAAATCACATTTTAGAGAGCCTTATTTAGGTATATTGTACAAGCATTGTAGAAGCTAAATTTTTGGCAATATAATAACAACAATAGTAATTGTCAAAAAAAGAACTCATTAAGTTTTGATTCGGTGAACAGATGGTTGAAAACTATTTATTGAATAAATTGACTTTGGTACATACGAGTATAAACCTAGATACAAGAAAGCAATATGCAAAGCTGTACATATACATTGTATATGCATTGGTAAGGTTATGCAGGCAGACTAAAAAGGTTATGCGTAGACCATTAATGCGATACCAGATTAGAGTTTAATTTATAGCGATAGTGTGCATCACTTAAGATGCACGTATTATTAGCGAATTTTATTAGAATTTCAACAGAAACCTCAGGTATGTGGTCCAGTTCTGTAAAACTGACAGCCTTAGTTCTATAAAACTGACAATACTTACAACTGCAAATACTGTGGAAGATATATTCGTCTATTGCTTGGAGTCGAGATAAGAACTCAAACCTTCTATCTATACCTATTAAAGAAGTTGTTGAATATTATAAATGAAAACTTGATAATTATCATAATTGTAAAGTAACCGATTACTTCTGAATTTACGTAATTAATAACAGTTGTAAATATTTTATATTAAATATGTTCAGTTAATTTTTTCCATAAGAATTTAATACATTTTTGCAAATACGACCAATTGATTGGATTAAATTCAAAACCTTCTCAATTTAAGTTTCGTGTAGCTCATTCTTTCCTTATGAATTATATGCCAACGTATGAATATACCTATAATTATATCTCCTTTATACCTTCTATTCTTATATCTATTATACTTATATCTATGTTTATAAATAGTATATGTCAATAAATTAATTAGTACGAAAACAAGTTTAATATTTTTGTTTTGAAAAACAATTTTTTTATATTCACATATTGACAAAAGTGTCTAACAAAGAACTTACCGGAAAGATATATGAACAATATACATATCAGCATGTCAGTATAACAAGTGACTATATTTAGTTATTTACACATTTCTCATTTCTTAAAAGTAAAACTTTTTTATATACATACATTTTTATAAAAAACGTAGGTTTTTTTCGATGACCAAAAATTAAGATGGACAAAAAAGCAAAAATAAATGGCGAAAAATTAAGTTTTTTGTGACTTCTTTAGATATTGTTTTATGTATATTGTTTTTCAATTTTTTTATAATAATTTGTCTTATATCTTTGTTTTCTCTTAAATATTTTTGAGTCATCATTGGATGATACCAATTGCTGTGAAAGGCATAGAAATACTTACAATAAAGGTACATTCTTATACAATGTAGTTTCAAAGGAATTTCTGGGCATTATTTGTTGGCAATGTCGAACAAAAGTAATGTGTTTATTATTCGTTATTATCTTACAAATACGTCAGTAAATCTATTTTTTATTATTCTTTGTTCGGTACACATCTGCATTAAATTTTAAATAATGTACAGTTTTTGTGTACACATAAAAAGTGTTAACATTTTATTAACGCCATTGAAATATAAATAATTTCTTTGCATCTATCTCAATGTATCTCAACGCGAGATACTCGTACTTTCTCCCAAGTTGCTGTTGCTGTTGCTGTTGCTATTGTTGTTAATTGTAATTTTATATCAATAATAAAATATGAAAATTTGTATGTTTACTTTATTGTTTACTTTGCGTTGCAAAATTTGACGTTAACATGCGAAAATTTATTTCAAATTACCATGCGAGGTTCAATGGTTTAGTTATATAAAATTGCATAAATAAATTTCGTTAGAATTGATGTGAAAACAAAAATTGACATACCCTTCACACTATTGCTAATATAGGGTATATTAAGTTTGTTAAGATATTGGAATAAAGGAATAAACGAGAGACGTTGGAGACTATCGTAACTAAATATAATATAATATAATTTTGGACAGCATTATAGGAAAAACTGATTCAGCGATATTCGCCCGTTTGTCTGGATATTAATAAATACTTTGAATGTTAAAGTTTTTGTAAGTTCAGGCAAATCAAATTGATATATTATATATTTTCATACATTGAAATTACACTAGTCACGCAGTTTTTAGTACTGTTAGCTGGCAATTGATAACAGAAGATGTTTATACAAAAAATGTGGTATTTCTGTTTCGTTTCGTGTTGTTACTAAGATTAGCTAAAACCTTAATTTTTGATTGTATTTCATTGAAACACAAAAATATCTTCAAATAAGTGCACTTTGTAATAAGAACATTTTTAATGCCTGCATTAAATACCTAAGTGAACAATGTTTCTTTTTTGTAATTTTTTGCAATATTTATATATTAAGATTATTTAGTTAATTAAAATCAACTAAAAATCTGAAAATGAAAGTTCACAAAATTTAAAATAAGTGTACAAATTCTTTATATTTAACTCCAAATACGTAAAGAAGCTATCAGTCATACATACGTTGATGGGAACAAGATGCTACAGCAATGTTATAAATGATATATAGATTTTTCAACAAACATGTTTTTATTTCTCTATATTATCTTTTTATATTCATATAAATTAAAAAATTTCTCTAGAAGTTATAGACCTTTAGTACCCTTTTAAAAAATGGAAACTTGTTAACAGTAGCGTACCTCGGATTATGAAAGGGTTTTGATATATAAGATAATAATCTTATTGGCAATGTTTTAGCAATGTATTATCTGTAAATTAAATTGCCAAAGGGGGATCAGCCCCTCAAATCCAACAACCCTGAACATAGCAGTAGTTGTTGAGTTCCTTAAAATATTTAATCGAAAAATAGATTATTCCACCGATTTGTTAGACTTTGGGAATAGGTAATAGTCTTTACAAATTTTATTGTTATTGTTGGCTTATTTCTTTGACAATTGTTTAAAAGTTTTCACAATTTGTATACTTATATATATATCATTTTTTTAATTAATTTGTATTTACATTATTCCAAAAATCCATTTTTAATTTAACTTTGTCTGACTAATAAGCGGAAATGACTAATAAATGCCACAACTTCATAGGGTTTCAGTTGAGAGGGTGTCCGTATATCGTTCTAAAATGAATGTGTATAAATTTTTTTTTTGGCTTTGTATTAATAGCATATACAATATAAA